AATCCAGAGGTTTTGCTCTGTTAGGCAGACTCTTGTCAATGTATAAATGTATTAAAAGTGTCAAATATTAAATGAAATTCCCCCCGAAAAATCGAAATGTTCAATATAAAAAATAACAAAACAACCAGTAAGCCCTCACACAACGTGGGCACACCTCCCGAAAGAAGTGGGTGGATTGCCTGTGTCTCATTTGCATTTAAAAAGACAGGCACTCCAAAGCGAGCGCTCTGAACGGGGCTGTTTTGGGTTAGGGTTAGGGTTAGGGTTAGGCAGGGGGACTGAACTGCTATTGGGCTTCATCCTTATGGGGTTTTGACCAAAGCTTGTCACAGACATTACATTAGGACACCAGGGAACTAGGTTAACTTGTTGAAATAGGGTATAATATGTCTCCTTTAAACTCAAATAATGTCCTGAACCCAAACCAGGAAAAAAAGTGTTTGTTTTTTTCCATTTTGAGCCGTTTTGCCTTGGCTGAATGAGTAAAAAAAAAAGCGGGGTTAACTTGTTGAAATAGGGTATAATATGTCTCCTTTAAATATGATGTGTTCTGTTTCATGGCTGATAAAAAGTTGTTATTTTTGTTTGTTTTTTTACACATTCTCAACCATCCAAATAAACATTTACTGAAAAAAACACACAAATATTTTTGTTTTTTATAAATCACAATGTTTTAATATGTATAAAAACAACAGAAAGCACACGATGGGACGTCTGTACAGGCCTCCTCCGGAGGGGGGGGGCGGCTCCAGCCGAAGGAAGGTTTGGGAAACTCAGTCTGCACGGCGAGCTCGCCACTCGCTCGCTAGCCCACAATATGTACACAACAGGAGGGGGGGGGGGCTCCTCAGTCCAGCCCCCCCACGTCGTGCTGCTTGTAGGACTGTGGGACCAGACCTCCTGCTGGAGAAACGCAGCAAAGGTCAGAAACAGAGCTGGTTCTGGACTCACTACACTGAATTTTTGTGTCTTCTTTGGTCATTTTCTGGTCATTTTGTTGGTTTTTATGGTGTTTTTAATCCTCATTTTGGTCATTTTGTGTCCATTCTTGCCGTTTTGAGTCTGTTTTTGGTCTTTTTGACTGCACTTTTTGGTCATTTTATGGCTAATTATTGGAGTTTTTTGTCAATTTTTACAAGTTTGTCCTTTTTTGGCTCAAACATCTGTGTATCCTCAGCTGTGTGTCTCTGGATCTCAGACTGGTTGTGGACTCACTACACTCATTTTTGTATCTTCTTTTGTCATTTTCTGGTCAGATTGTTGCTTTTTCTGGCGTTTTTAATCCTCATTTTGTGTTCATTCTTTCAGTTTTTAGTCTGTTTTTGCTCTTTTTTTCTGTACTTTTTGGTCATTTTATGGCTAATTATTGTAGTTTTGTGTCAATTCTGATCGTTCTCTGGTCTTTTTCTGTACTTTTTTGCACTTTGGTGTCTTCTTTTGTCTCCGCCTGAAGCCTCAGCTGGACTTGGTGTGTCTGGATGTCAGACTTGTG